TTAATTGTATTTTATGGGTTTCGCTAAATTGACCAAATTGTTAATATATTTAGCACTAAACGCAAAGTTGTAAGACAATATGATAATTTATAATCATAGTGTTAATTACCATTTTTTTTAGTAGAAACACAAATGTATCAGTCTAAGAAAACATTAAATATATATATGTTTATTTTTTTTTAAATAAATAGATGACTAAATAAACACAGAAATTTAATTTGGCCTGTTTCTTTTATTATTCTGTACTTGCAGGGCATCATTTACAGGACAATCCTCGCTACAAACTTCACTAAACAAGTACGAAAAAATATTATTTTTTCTGGAACTTATACTCTGCAGTTATTTGATGCCGACCATACGCTATGACCTATACTTACAATTTTTTTTTTTCAAAAAACCCAATGACAATAAACAATATTATATTCATTCATACTTACAGTTATACGTTTTATAAATATTGTACAATTCGATCGTGATCGAATGACGATATTCGTATAAATCATAACTAMAACTTCGATTTATGAGCCTAACATTTTACTTAATCTTTACTTAATCTTCACGCCATTTCCAAAAAAGTGCCATCGCATTTAATCAGACTCGATAAAGTACGGCGTTACAATTATTTTTTTTCTCTACAACCTTGAATGTCCAATGGTGTTTACTGTACACAATACGCGTAATAACTTGTACATCGTACAATATTATATGAATTTATCATACTATATAATTTAMAGTATGTTTCGGCGAAATTTGATTGAATCAAACATTAAAATACTCATACTTACGGACTTCMAGTTGTAACATATCAAGTTCACAAATCGATAGTGATCAAGCAACAATATCCAAGTAAATTATAACTAAAAACTTGATTTTGGTACATTAAACTGTATATTTGGTTGAAATTCTTGGCACGCTGTCTTAATTCCATAATCGGATTACTCATACGATACACCTAATTCTGTACTYAATTATTAACTATGCTATTTCAAAGATATAGAGACACGTTGCAAACAATTCACACCAGATCGTCAGTCATGACACAATAGATATGATATTTAGAGCTCACAAAGAAGCTATATCACGTTAACTACCTACTTCGTTGTTGTATGTTTTCGTTATGCCGATAACGGCATTATAGTTCTATTAAACTATCAAATCCCTTCGTCGTTTCYGCAACAAAACACGAATTATTAAGGTATAGTRTGGTTACCGTCTGCCATACATTCTAASAATGCGGAAATTATGTAAGCGGCTATATTATTATGTAACCAATGAATACTATTATTAAATATTCTTATATGATGACAATATGACAGTTTCTTTGACACCGGTTCGTGACGTTTACGACGTGAGTTAAAAGTTAAATGTGTTTTATTTTGACCCTTCTAATTATTCTACTACATTTCATACCGGGTAATGGATAGTAAACGCTTACACGGCCTATAATAATATGAAATACAATTTATGGACATTTACTATTTCTACTAATAATTGAAACAATATTTCAAAAAAAAAAAAAAAAACGTAATAAATTTCTGGATGATATTAAAGCATATTTTACGGGCGCATATAAACATATTCGCGTAAGACAAATCACCAATGAGAAAACAAAAAGTGTGAACTCAATAAACCAAATTGTTAAGCAGAAAAACTTTATATAACCATTCAACACATCATCCTAGACTGCTCAGATCTTTAAAATATCTGAAATACCTTATCAATATCCAACAACTTAGAAGAATCTCTCCATGAAGACATCACCATAAAACTCTTAAATTTCTTTACACAAATGAACATTGTAACTAATCTTTTGACTAATATGTATTCATAATTTAAGACTATTATAACCTTTGAAATTTAATTATTCATGTAACGCACATAATATAACATGTACACAAGGCTAATAACCTCAGATGCTAAAGCCTCCCTTCTCTCTCAATAATAATAATAAAAAAAACTTTAGACTTAAAACTGTTTGTCATCCCATTTCAAAACGAAAGATTTTTTAAYTATGGCTGAATATAAAAACTAACAAAGTAATACGTTAAGTCTTGTAATTATTTGGGTTTTTATTAAACGAAACTTAAACTTAACGTTGAAAGAAAATCGAAGTTGTCAACGATTTTTTGTTAACCTTAACCTAAGAGTTATGCAGCTAAAACCTTCTGGTTGTGATTATAATTTTTAATATAACATAATTTATTTTTTTAAACGAAAATTCGATTTTGACAACAGATGATTTGACATTATATATTGACGTGATTTTAAAACCGACATAATAATAATATTACGGTATTTTCTTTTATAGATTTTTCATTCTCTCGATAAATGTGTAATAATTAGGTTATAATGACCTTATATGTCAGGATTCAGGATTACTTTATAAAAAAAAAAAAAGGTAATAAAATTGAATTATTAGATTAATGAATGGTTTACATAATTGTCATGATATCATAGAACTTTTTGGTTATCGTCACTTTATATTATCATGGTGATAACAACTATTGGTTTTCAATACTTWAGCTAAGATTCAGTTAACCAGTAAACAAAAAATATTGTCTCTGCATATGAATTATGGAGTATTAATAACTAAATCTACTATGATGTATATCAACYGGATACCTTTTGGTGTTGATCCCATTTAACCTAATCTTATACATCTCTATAGAGAGGTATCTATATAGGAACCTATATAGGTTATCTACCTACAGAGGCTGTATTTTCAAAATACAAACACATATATCCAACACAATAGCACATGCCATAAATGCGATAATATGAGATACAATATGTATGCAAATTTTATTAAATCATTATATTATCTACTATCGTTGTTTCTAAATACCTAGTTTAAGCTCAAATGTATTACGTATTATATAATATTAACAAACCCCKTAACAAACAAAATGGTCGTTACTAGTATGGATAGTCAGTGCGTCTATACTTAAACCTTATTTCGTGTTTTGTATTAGCCATTAATCAACATTAAAATAATTGACTACTGTATTATTATATTAGGTACCTAATAATGTATTAAATATTACGTTTAGATTTAATTATTAATATTTTTTTCTAAGCATGCTGATAGTATTATTTTTAGAAACAATTTGAACAGTAAAATTTACAAAAAAGCTACAAAAAAAAATCAATATTTTAATAATATGTATAAACACTTCACTAACCGAGGTTCTCGATGTAATATAAATTATTTCCTCAATTCCATAATAATAATACCTAAATACCCATTGCAAAAACAATCGATGTTGAAACATAACAAGATAAAAACTTCCAATCTTGTGTAACATAATATCATAATATTCTGAATACGGCGTATCTTATAGGCAAACAAATAACTCAATGTTTATAATGTTATAATCAAATTGTTTTGTCATGATAAACAATCACATAAACACGCTGCACAGTTTCCATAATAGTATTCTTAAGCATAATATTTTATCGGATTTAATACAAAAGGAGGCATATTGCGTTTCAAAATACACTTAGTTCCAAATTATAATATATTATGACAGTATTATATTTTTTATTAAGTGATTTGAAATTTTATTTTAAACGTCATAAATGTTGTGAATTTTATTTGTAATCATCTACATTGACAGAAATTTTAAAAGATTCGAAATCAAATATTATTATGTATAGTATTAAATGGTAATTGAGTTTAAGTTACATTTGTGTGGTACTGTGGTCGCAGTTGTTTGGAAAACCTATTACATGAAATGCAATAATCATTAGATCGAGAGTACACGATTGAAATAAATTGAAAAATCTAATACTCGAGTACGCGCGTTGCCTTATTATTCCTATTTAATAAGTTTAAATGTTTTGTTCTTAAAGTCCATTTTTTTGGACCAGAAAGGATAAGAATATGTCTACTACTTACTTAGAATAATCCACTTTTAATCTTATAGGATTATACATTGTTTTTAGTAAACATAATAATATTGTTTACTTAATTGTTTTCTTGTTTTCAAATATAGTGGTTGTATTCATACTTTTGACATAAAAACTAAGAATTCATCGTATTATCTTGTTTTTATCTAACAGTTGGGTGGAAATATAATATTGAAAATTGTGAGAAAAAAATCCTTTGAAACTATAGGAAAAAAAACAAAACAGAAATCTATTTTTCGTTGATATTTCTTGTTGTGGTATTATTGGTATATCAAATATCATATAAAAACGTTGTAGTCTATATTACACGTATTTTGTGAGGTAATAATTCGAAAATTCGTTTTTTTATTTTTTATTTATCGTTTGCCAAAACTCGTAGGTTTCTATAATCAATTTATAACACAATATTATTATCCCATCTTACGATTGATGTTAAAAAATTGTTGTAGTTTGAATAGGAATGTTATGCAATATAAACGGAAATCAAGAATAATTCTTTATTTCAAAGTGATTGATAACCATGTATTTATATTTGTTGTTGTGGAAATATTGTTAATTTTTTATGTTTTTTTTATAAATTGACATGTGTACATTTTAACAATTTAAAACTATAAAACATTATATTCGAGGGTAATATCAACAAAATGAAAAACACGCTAAATTTATTTCGTGAACATTTTTGAATATTTATAAATAAATCCAAAGCAATGCAATTATTAATATAAAAAAAGACTTTAAAGTTATCCAATTGAATATAAACTAAGAAGATTTAAAAAGTAAAATCACAAAATCAAATGTTTGCGGTGTAGTAATCTGGTGTTACCTCCCCGTAGTGTGTCTAGGGAAATGTTTATTAATTTAAACTGAGACGCACGCTGTGGGATGCTATATGAAGTAAAAAAATAATTGTTGGTTTGGGACACTCGTAACTTTTTTTCGGATTCACTCTGGAGATTCTCCAGGCACTCAACATTCTGCCACTAACTAGCTAACCGGAGGCATCCGTCACCRCGACTACGGTTAACCTATCCACCACCAAGCAAAGAATATTTATCGTGTATTAATGTCTTTATCGGGTCGGTGTGTTTCAGGTGAGAAGGGCCAACAGAGAGCGACAGCGGCTGTCACGTCTGCAGAAGAAGGAGATCGGGCTGGCCACAATGCTGCTGTGYGTGGTGGTCGTGTTCCTCCAGTGCAACGTGTGGGCGCTCATAGCGAACGTGGTGGAGGCGTTCTACGGCATCACCGTCGACCATCTGGTCAAAGTTAGCAACCTTCTGGTGACGATCAACTCGTCTGTCAACTTCGTCATCTACGTGATATTCGGTGAGAAGTTCAAACGGCTGTTCTTCAAGCTGTTCTTCCCGCGGGGCGTGTGGATGTGCGGTTGGCACTATGCCACCGACGGCCGGGGAGGTCCTAGCGGCGCTGGAGGCGGTGGCCACGTGGCTATGGACGACAGTGAAGCCACATGCAATGGGGCAACGGCGTTTGAGTGCAGGCAACTGGCCACCACCGCRGTGTGTGGTTCTCTGTCGTCCGCGGACCACTACAAGCGGTCTCATCGTAGCCGCCACCATCACCAAAACCACCATCACCATCATCACAGCCATCATCACCACAATCGGGACGGTGACCGCGTGGATCACCAACACGGAACGGTGACTAATGGCGGTAATAGATATGGTAACGGTGGTAACTCTACATCCGACGACCGGGAGCTCAGCTCGAAGACGCCAACCAACAGTGGTCTGATGTGGGAACACTCGACCACTACCACTACGACCACCGTAAACGTACACCAGATCTGAGCGTTGTTAGACTGACTAAGTGTGTTTTAACTTTGTCACAAAAGTGTGAGTGTGTGTGTGTGTGTGTTTTTTTTAACAAATGTATTATCATGTTATCAACCAATACTTACATTCGATCGGGTGAGGGGAGTAGGAGGATGAACTGCAGGATATTGATGATAATGAGGAAGAGCGTTGGACGAGTATGATATGGAACTTGGATGTATGAAATATGTCATATTAGACGCAGACGGTTGGACGGGTGCATAATACCAATATCTGAAATTTAAAAAAAATATGCTTCTTGAAACGTTTAAAATTAAATAAGAAAAAAAATGGTCAAATATCTCGTATTGAATATTGTTTAATACGAGATCGGTTGTGCCTACCATATCTCGATAGTCGATGACACGAAATATTGGCAACGGATGATTAGATATTATATAATATTTCACGAGGATAGTTATTTTTTCTTACCCAACTTCGTGGTTCACTGAACGTCATCTATTATATGCCAGCATCCTCCGGACGATCACCCGCTATTGTGGAAACATGAGAGACAACACATGGTACACAAGTGAATAGTATCTACCACTAAGGCTGGACAATTTGACTAATTTGTTTTTTTTTTTTTAATTCATGGATTTAAGTTTAAGAAAGTTAATAGTTACATATTTTCTTCTTGGTATAACTTTAAATTTAAATGAAAATAAGTAACTTGGTGAATTCGTTAAAATAATTTATATTTTATCTGAATATTTACAATCCACTTTAAAGCTCAAAAAGTAAATTTCATAAAATTATACACACTATACAATTAAATACATAATAATAATAGATAAGTACATAATATAAGAATAATTACAGATTACTAAAGAAAGGGATGATAGACTTTACTAATTAGATTTTCTTGCATTGTTTAGGTTTAGATTTTGAGAAGTCATGGAATCAAATTAGGTATCTTAAAATTCCAACTAAGTTCCCTGGTTGTTTTATTGTACTGACATATTTTTTCCCATAATATTCTAAAACTTAATCTATATGTTAAGACTACTATATCTCAGGATGGGGTTACGAAATTCGTATTTTCATATAAATATATATTATGTTAATTAGAAACAATAGTTTATACAAAACAAAATTAATTTTAATTATACAGAGTTATATTATTCGGAAATAATATTAATTTAACTTGATTTTACAATCAATCAACTAATGTTTAAACTGCATATCTTGGAACACATTTTTACTCCATTCTAACCTAATTGCTTAATCCAATGTAACTTTACTTTGATTTTTTATTTCGTTCATGTCCAACCTCCAACCTCGCATACTGTGCATATAAATCGGATACGATACACATGCATGTCATATACAATTTATAGTTATGTTTAATTTAATATTATGGTTTCGAAATGTGAATGGATGCTATCTAATATACTATAGGTATCAAGAAAGTATGTAAAGGTGTGTGCAAGTTGAAATTCGTTTGTTCAATATAAAACGTCTATATGCAAGCAAATCGTGTATCACATACTGCACCGATTAAACAATATAATAAAACAGTCAATCGTTCTGTATTTTTTTCCATATAACCAGTGTTAATGTCATAAGTAGGTAAGCGATATGTTTTAGATTCTGAGCGGAGTGAGGGATGTTTGGTATTTGGTTTCACAATGCTGTTTATTCCTTTTCCTTATTCTGTAAACACTTTTTCTCCCTCTAAACTTGCTCAAAAGTATCGAGTGTATCATCTTTTTTGAAAGACAATGCTCTTGAGCTGGTACTTTTGATACGTCATTTTTCGATTTTCGAAACTATATTCGAAATAAAAGCGGTTAAAAGAGAAAAAATGTACGATTTCACGATTTTATTATAATAAATAATTACGGACGCTACCAGAAATATTGCTTCAAATGAAAAATGACAATAGATCTTTTTTGTTGTATTTTGGATTTTGTTCCTTATGGTTTAAAATTCACAACATTTTAGCCATTTTTGAGCTTTTTTTAGATATTTCAATTTTGGAATTTTTTTTGTTATAATTCGATTAAAAACATTCGTAAAAACTTGAAATTTTCGTTGCTTACTTATATTAGCCTTACATGGTAACATTTTCAAAACATTTGAGCTTTTTCTTTTTTTTCATTTTTATGATATTTCCTAATATTATAAATTATAATTATAATTATATAAATCGTTCTTAAGCTGTTCTTATAACGCTTTGTTTATCACCATAGATACCAATAAAATTAAATAAAAAAGATTCCTTCGTCCGCTCAGAATCGTTTTTTATTGAATGCAATCATTGCATTCAAATCGAATATAGTGAAATTTCAGTATCATGTCCAAGGACTGAAGGATACCCCCGAAAATCTGACCTACTTTTTGTTGTTGTTTCATTTGTGTGTATACGGGAAAATCTAATGTATACAGATAATTCAAATATAGTGAATAATATTATAATTATTTAATCAATATTTTTTTAATAATATTTCCCAGTAAATACCGAAATAATTTTACCAAAATATAGTGTTGATGTTTTACTGTCATGAGTAAAAATATACACCCATAGAGTGGATTCTGATGACATACTTATTTTGCTTGTATCCCGAATGACATCACTGTTCCACAATAATAATAAATACCCTACGTCGAATACCAAGTCCCACGTTTGTATGTATTTATAAACAAATGAGTTATTTTTTTATTTTTTTTCGAAGCCAAATTCAAAGACTTTCAGAAATATACGCACGATTCGTACACATAAACGCGGATAAACCATTGCCGCATACCTATACGTGGCGTATRTCAAAACGTCACTCAGATTTTAATCTCATTTTACACCACAACCAAAAAATACAGATGATACCTAACGTTGGTATATAGGACCATAGAACCGACAAAGCGGTTTCGTGTTTTTTTCATATCCAAATACAATTAAAAACCCCAAGCATGTCAACAATCACAAATTCGTCTAATATTATCATGTAAATATATTATTATTATTATATTATTAATTTACGTGCATGTATACACATATTACTATGCATTTATATATAATTATATGTGTAACGAGTATGTATATAATATTATTTGTGTGTTTTCACTTGTGTTAAATTGTTTATTAATGTTTACGTGGGTGGGTAGGTAAACAACGTTTTCGGTATTACGTCACGGCGTTAAGGTTGCAAATATAATAATAGTTGAGGTTTTGTCAAACCTATTTTTAATTCAAAATTTACTATGAATACCTATAATACTTGTACGAAGCCCCTGTATTGATGTTTCATTATAATATTATTAATATCGTATACGACGTATGTTATTGAAAAGTCCTACTGTACCCGTGGTTATACAAAAAATACAAGCCATTGATAATATCATCTAAGTAAAATGTACTGTATACAATGTTTATTGTGTATAAAAAAACCTGTTATACCATCATCACTTTTCTGTAATTTTTTTATATATATATAATCGAATGTTTTTTTTTTAAGTTTAAATTACACACAACAATATTATGTAAAATATACGTATTTTATTGTACCTTTTAAATAACATTGAAATATATATGAAAACATGTTTACAAAAACTATATTTTTAGATTCTTATTATTTTTATTCGTAGGTTAGGTCGAACTCAAATATATATGTATAATATAATATATAATATATTTTAGTTTAAACTATACGATAAAGAGAGTGTGTGAACATTTATTTTGAAACAGAAGAAATGGATTATCAGATAATACGTAACAGAAAYAAAAATCCGAAAAATAGGGTTTAAGTGATTGAAATTAAAATCAAAAACAAAGATGAGGATGTTGATCAAAATGTGGACTTCAAATGATCAATCTAAAAATTATGGATAATCATAAAGGTACTAAGATACAAAATCCAAACCTAAATGAATTGCATATAGATAAAGGTCGCAAAATTGAATATTAACTCGATTTTTTGAAATAAAATAAAATAAAAACTCAAAAAGGTAAAGAAGGTAAAGAATAACATATACACATGATAACTTATTTAGATCTGTGATTATGACATACACTCATCAGAATTTCTGAAATATTATGCAGGTGTAACTCTTCAATTTTGAAAACTATAATTTTATTTTGAAGATTATATAGTAGCCAATTCATTGTGCAATCTTATGTGCCTCATTTTTCTATTTTATTCTAAACTAATGTTCTTCGATTTATAGTGGTTGGATATTTTAAAAAGCTTCTTGTCATGTGTAACACACAAAATAAATATAGATTGGTTGAGTATATTATTTATTAAATTTTGAAGAGTATTTGGGTACGAATGTAAGTCGTGGTACATAACGTTAGGTTGGTAATGTACCAGAGAGTGAAAAATACTCACTCAATGTTTGTAAATTGTAAAGATTGAAGTTAATTTAAGATAAAGTTCTGGACGTTATATTAAACACTCAATGCTTAACGGCATACTCATCGAAGGAAACACAGGTCCAAAAGGCTAGCCCGTAGATATATTATACTAAATGAAAAAAATAATAATAATAAACAAAATATTCACTAAAATTCAAGAAAAAAATTCATCTGAAAATTTTTATAAAGTCGTTTTAAATGTTACATATAAATTGTAAATTATCTTTGGAGCATAAAATGAACTCAGAAACACACTGATCATTTTCACATTAACCTTCCAAATTTCGTCTTCACTGAAGCAAATATAGACGCTTCCGATCTACGAAGAGTAGGTAAGACTTATATTCTCATGTTATTTTTTAGATTAAATTGTTCAATTGGCCACAAAATAATATTTTGTTTAATGTTTTTTATTCAAATGTCTTTACGTTAACAGCTTAAAGACTCAAAATATATTACGCCTATTTTGACGAAAATTCAAGAATTAATTTTAGAGATACGTAYAAGAAATTGTAAAGAGTAGTTTGAACAATATTTTGAAAATAATGCTTATATAAAAAATTAATATTGCTTTATCAAATCCGTCATAGGTGGATAGTCCATATTAGTCAAATTAGTTCACAAAGTGGACCTATGCAATTTGACATTAAACTGAAGTAAACTTAACCGAGAAACACCTATTATATTATAACGCCGTATTTTATATTCTTTAATTTTTTATCAGGGTGAAGTCAGTTTATGTACAACTAATATAGATATTATATTTTATAAAACATAAGCTTTATTCAGTGTTGATATTYTCAATATAGATTAAGGTTTTAATATTTTTCTAAGAATATGGAAATAATATATCATTATATAGAATCAACTTTTCTTCGTCAYCTAATTTTTGAAACCAAAAAATAGATATAATTTCAATGCAATTTAAGTATTGGAAAACAAACTAAAAAATTGCTTTCATTTGGTGTTTTAATTTCTTATCTATAACGTTATAGATTCAAACCRCTTTGAATTTTTTTCTTATTGTTATTTACAACGGGTATTTATTTCTAGATCTAAACTAATTATTTTTACCAGCCTGTTTTTTTTTTATTYKTTTGTTTTCTACCACTATCTGAAGTATGATATTACATAAAGTATGAATAAAATGTTTTCTGCACAAATTTTAATTCACAATCGTATATTTATTATTAAATTCATTTTGAGTTCATAGGTGATAACATCTTAAAAAATATGTATATAGTCCATCTTAAATATTACCCACTCTACCTAAATAATCTTGAACGAATAAGTTAAGATTCACGATAAGTAACCACTTTTCAGTTTGTAAGTTATCAATTTTGTTCTTTTGTTTTTATATTAATATTCAGTAATATATGGATACGCATTCATATACATATTATAAACCTATATAATGTTTACAACTGTATTGACAATTAAAATACTACAAAAATTATGAAATCCCAAGAGTTTAATTAGTGAGTACTTAATGTCAAACCATATACAATAAATCTAAGAAAATGTATTGCTCATACAAATTATTCTGAAAAAAAAAATACAGTACACTATTTAAATTTTTCATTATTATGCTCAAAATTATACAATTAGACAAGTAAGAGTTTTGTTTGTTCGTTCAGCACATAGTTTATTATTTTTCAAATTTATATMAATAATGTCAAAAATGTTCAGTGAGTGATTTAACATATAACTTCACTGCAAGGTATATACCTGTTATGGTATATTTTCGAACCACAAGGGTCATAAAATACTGTCTGAAAACTTATAATCGTACGACATACCTACGACTAAACGTAAATAACTAAATGCACATTTATCACATACCTTGCAGACATTTTCTATCTTAGAGAAAAGAAAAAACCCTCAAAGTCTATATTGATTTTTTTTTATTTCATTTTTATTCATAATTCGATATTTTCGTATACATTGTGTGACAATTCATTGTTAACGTGATTTATAACTATTGRCGGGATTTAAATATTACCATATAATTTTATGATATTTATTTTTACTTTTTTAAAATTGTTATTAAATGCCTCTTGTATTTAGAATGACGAAAATTATAAGCTTAAATTTATTCTCACATTAGTGGATCTATTGTTTTAAAATATGAAACATGGGGACCGTTGTGTGCTAACAGGGAAGACATTAGCTAATGTTTAATAGTTGAGTACATGTTATGAGAAAATAAGCAAGACCAACTTCTAAAGAACATATAAATTATGTTTTTGTACCCACGAAATGTGTTGTGTCATAAATTCCTTTAATT